GGAAGGCCTTTGCAAATGTGCAGTGAATGAGTTTGCCTCTAGGTCACTTTGGGTCTGACCCAGCCAGGTTGATCCATCAGTGGTGCCACTTTGGGATGCCAGGCTGACAAGAGCTCTGAAAACAGACGCATGTGTGTGTGTGTGTGTGTGTGTTAGCTGCTCAGTTGTGTCTGACTTTTTGCGACCCTCTGGACTGGAGCTGGCCAGGCTCCTCTGTCCATGGAACTCTCCAGGAGAGAATACTGGAGTGGGTGGCCAGAGCAGAACATCCTGTAGAGGTGCCCACCTGCCTCTTGCCTGCAGGGTGGTTCTTGACCACCCTGTGTTTATGCTGCCCCTTGAAGAAACAAGTACCGATCACCTCTCCCGACCCAGGAAGGTGCACTGACATCACTGTCTCCAGCTCTCCACCGGGAAGCCAGGTCACACACAGCACAGAACACGCTATCCAGAGCCCATTTGTGAAGGGGAAATGGGTCCTCTCGTCACGTGTTGAGGGAACAAGAAGCTTTTTCGAATCACAGGTATTCTTGATTACCACTCTGGCAGTGCAGGAACCTTAAGTGCCTTCCGAATCCTCAGAGAAACTTGCCTAGAGCCACAGACGCTTTCACGGGGGGTGATGTTTATGTTGCTCTGTTTCTTTGAAGATGGGGGCCAGTTTATCAGAAGTTTACTGGTGTTCTATTAGGGACACATGGTTATATGGAGATGTGAGTGCGAGTTCCCAAGCCTTGCAGGATTTCAACACCTGAGAATCAAGAAGTGAGCTCCGCTCTCGGGCATTTCCATTCCTGACATTCTGTGAGCTCACGTATCTCTAGTAGCCTGAACATTTAATTAAGCAGAATTTTCCACTTGCCAACTGTGCCAGACAAATGAGAGGACTCACTGTGTGAGTCAATAAGAAAACTTACCCCGGACGGCCTTCCGCTAGAGGATGTCAGAGCAAGAGTTACTGTGAGCAGTCAGGGAAGGACATCGAAAAGAACAAAGTGTACATAGCACTCTTTGTATATCAGAGCCTTACAATTTGCCGACATGCGCCTGAAAGTTAAACCTTCCATTACATAACTTTCTATCCCTTTCTTAAAAATGTTCCAGTCGCATTGGCATGCTTTATGATTTGCCTTGCTTCAGAGATAAGCGCTTTGCAAACGACTCAAGTTCTCAGCTGTTTTTCTCATTGAAAAGGTTGTGGTTAAGGACGGACAAATTAGGAGACTGGGGTTGACCTATATAACACGACTAAGTATAAAACAGCTAACTAATGAGAACCTACTGGATAGCACAGGGAACTCTACTCAGGATTCTCGAATGACCCCTATGGGTACAGAATTTGAAAAATGATGGATGCCTATATATGTATAACTGAGTCACTCCGTGGTACACCAGAAACTAACACAATTCAGTCAATCAGCTACACCCCAGTATGAAATAAGAATTAAAAAATTAGATCAATAAAGGTGGAGGTTAGAAGAGTGACTGAGCAAAGAAGCTGTTTAGGTAGAACATTCAGAAGGGAAGGTGGGATGCGCCTCAGATAACAGCGCATCTCCCAAACCGTCCAGCCCTAAAATAGGTCGCTCTCCATACACGTAAACGTGTGTGAGGGTTCAGAAATTATGGAGCTTGCTGGGCTCAACCCTGAGTGTGCACTGGGGCCTTTTTCTGGACAGCCAGCTGTGAGCTTCAGGCAGCTCTTTTCACTCCCTGGCATCACGCCCTGTCGGGCCGGTGGGTCAAACATCCCTATAAGCTGATGGGAAGGGTATTTCTTTTCCATTCTGGCCCCAAAGGAGCCCAGGAGCCTGTTGTTGTTTGGAAAAAAAAGAATTAATTTTCTCCTCCAATGGCTTATATCCTCCAACCCATGACAATTTTAAAAGGTGATTTTTTTTTTAAAGCACTTGCACTTACAATGTTCACTGGAAATGTACAGGCAGGGAACGGGATTCACCTAGGATGCTCTCTTAATTCCATGTGCAAGGAGAATTACATACTCAAATGTGGAGCTCAAACTTGGCCACATCTGGACGAGACCAGGATCGCACGTCAGGACTCCGCAGACATTTTGCTGGTGAGGCGCTTTCACTAGATTAACGCAACTGCTCAGCAGGAAAACAGGCTCCTATTTGTAAGACCCTAATGATTAAATGTTATCAATTCTTTGCACCACTTGCGGCAGTTCTTTATATTCTCTTATAATTGATGCTTTCAAACTGTGGTGCTGGAGGAGACTCTTGAGAGTCTCCTTGGACTTCAAGGAGATCAAACCAGCCCATCCGAAAGGAAATCAACCCTGAATATTCATCGGAAGGACTGATGCTGAAGCTCCAATACTTTGGCCACCTGAGGCGAAGAGCCGACTCATTGGAAAAGACTCTGGTGCTGGAAAGATTGAAGGCAAAAGAAGAAGGGGACGACAGAGGATGAGATGGTTAGATGGCATCACTGGCTCAATGGACATGAGTTTGAGCAAATCCTGAGAGACAATGGAGGACAGAGGAGCCTGGCGTGCTGCAGTCTATGGGGTTGCAAAGAGTCGGACACAACTTAGCAACTGAACATCATCAACAGGAACAACGACAGGAACAAAAGATTATCTGGAAAAAGCAACCTGAAATGGATTGCGTGACTTGTGAAAGCTTCTCTAAAGTGAATGTGACACACACACAAATAAATACAACGAATTAACTGAATATTTTAAAAGGCGATCTTAGCAATGATCTTATTCTTCAGGGGAAGGCAGTGTGTTCAGTTAGGCATCTTTCCGTGGTGATACTTACAGAGATGTGTTATAAGGTTGTCCTCTAGAGGGTGTTAGGTTTTCAGCAAAGCCCAGTGCTGCTGAAAGGCATTCGAATCCAGTTAGCACAGACAGGCAGACGATCCGGCTTCCTTCTCTCTGGGAGGCAGGCGTTCTAGGTCCCATACCCTGAATTTCACATCTCAGGAGCTGTATGGACAGGACAGGACCCATAGGGCTTTCCATGGGCAGAGATGTGATTCTTGAAGGCCCCCAAATACTCTCATATGAGTTGGAGAAGGCCATGTGAGTCAAAACAGCAAAGGATCCCTCCTTCCTACTTAAGCCCACAAAGGGCTATTTTTGCTGTTCTTTCTTAATTAAACCATTGCTTGGGAGTCTGCAAACCTCTAGGCCTCGGGAGCCAGCAACTTGAAGTAGTCAAGTCCACAACTGCAAAGCACACAGCAGGACGGCTGTGAGGTCCACAGGTGACCAGGTGTCAACATCTGCAATACTGACAGGCTCTGGGATCCTGAATTAATTAGTTAAGCTCCCACATCTCTGATTCCTCATTCACAAAAGACTACATCCTAGGGCTATGGGAGGATTAAACAGGACAACTCAGAGGAAGTGTCTGGTATGCAGGAAGGGCCCCATAAACACTATTAGTTGCTTTTATTCCAGAGTCTGGGTCCAGTCCTCATGATGTGGCTTCAGCCGGTCTCTCACTTCCCCCTACGCAGACCCTTTCATCCCGCCTACCCCCCCCCCACACTTATCCCCAGTCTTCCCTCTGCTTCCTCACCTGCCTTACCATCTGAGATCTCACCCAGGTCTCTGATGTTTAACTGCAGCTGAAACCGTAGAGACACAGTTTCCTCCTCTAAGAACATGACGAGGTTTCTCCTATCTCTGAACAATATCAGGGACACAACGTCTTGATGCAGAGGTGTGTGTGTCTGTCAAATGTGTGGAACTGGACGCTTAACACAGGTGCATTTTTTTTTTTACACTAAGTTGTACCTCTATCAACCAACCCAGTCAGAACATAATGAGAAGATGTCAGGCTCTGGGGACAGGGAGGCTTGGCTCAAGCTCTGATACTTTCTCTTTGGCGGGACACTGGGCCTCTCTCGCACACAGCTTCCTCCTCTGCAGATGGGGTGGCTGTCACTTTCTCTTCTAGAAGTGAGGGTTTAGAGGTATAGTGTACATGCGTGCTCATCTGCTTCAGTTGTGTCCAACTCTTTGCAACCCCATGGACTGTAACCTGCCGGGCTCCTCTGTCCATGGGATTCTCCAGGCAAGAGTACTGAAGTGGGCTGCCATACCCTCCTCCAGGGGATCTTCCCCACCCAGGGATCAAACCCTCATCTCTTGGGTCTCCTGTATTACAGGTGGATTCTTTACCTCTAAGCCACCAGGGAAGCCCTAGAACCATAGTAACAGTAGGCAAATGCTTTGCACCAGGCTTGCAAGTTGATGTTTACATGATTACTAGGACCTTCATTTTTGGCACAGGCATTTCTATGTTGGTCAGAGACCTCTGTTTACCACAAGGTACTCTTGAGGACAGAATATGTGTGGGCTTTTTCTTTCCCATGTGTCTAGCAGAGAGTAGACATGGGTGTGTTTAGCTAAACACACTGACTTTTAGGTACCAAACATTTAGAAGCATCAGAACTTCAGGCTCTGCAGGATGTCATGCTATATACTATCACCCGGGTTTGCTAAGCCTGCCTCTTTTGAAGTCTGACAGACACTTTACTTGGCTGATAACTCAGCTATGGCTCCCCAGTGTACAGGAGAACTTAATAACACATCTCTCCTTGGGATCGCTCTTTAGGTTCACATGGGTTGTCTGTTTTTCTCCTTAAAGCAATGGAATGACCGTGGAGTTTTCTGGACCAATAAGTCACTCTCTTTTTCATGATTCAAAGTTAGGCTTTTATTTGGTTTCAAATTAAAAAAATAAATTTCATTATTAAATAGTGAGATGGATCTAACTGAGGTTCAGAGAAGTAGCCGACTCAGGAATATACCGCCAGGGGTACAATTCAGGGGTGGATCGCCTAAAACGAAAATGAGTTGTTAGGTTGTCATGTTTGTTCAAAGTTCGACAGTGGCATAATTCAAAGGAGACGGAGATACAAAGTTTCAAATGTTTACAATGGATGAGAGAAGTAAACCAGCTTATTCTACTGCAATCCCAAATGGGTTTCCCTTCCGATGCCAGGCAGCTCGGCCACTACACCACGGTGCTGACGTCGTCGGGTTCGTCGGCTTTCTTCTGCCTGCTCGGCAGGGACTTCAAGTATTCGAGGTGTCTCCGCGCGTCCTCCTGATTCTGCCTCACGTAGTACACCACGTAGGAGATCACCATGGTGAACCAGCCGAACATGGTGACCAGCATGGCGTAATCAGTCGTTTTTTTGGGGAGGTTACAAAGGTCGGCGTCATTGGCAGCGTTGAGGAACGGCCTCCCCGCGTGCTCGTCCAGCACGGAGGTCTTGCAGATCACGCTGTGGGCTGTCTCGTGGTTGGAGACCATACTGCGCAGGACCTGCTGGAGCGTACAGTCACAGTGCCAGGGGTTGTTGGCAATCCTGGCCCTGGCCTTCAGGTTATTGAAGGCGTTTTTGTGCACGCTCTGGATCCGGTTGTCAGACAAGTCCAGAGTCTGCAGAGTTTCCGCGACTCCCTTGAAGGCGTGCTCGTCGATAAACTCGATGCCATTTTTGGACAGGTTGAGGACTCTTAGCTGATGGAGGTCCTTAAAAATCTCATTGGGGATGGATGTGATCTGATTGGAGTCCAGGTACAAGAGGACCGTTTCAGGCGGAAGATCTCTAGGTATTTCCTTGAGATTCGCATTGCTACAGGTGACATTCAGACCCCCAGAGGAAGAACAGAGACAGCCCTTGGGACACATACTGGCGGAATGGAAGCACAGTATCATAAGAACAAAGCTTTGGAGGAGGAGACACATGGAGAGGGAACGCGTTAACCACAGGTCCACCAGATTCATGCTGGAATGTCAGCATAATCACAGCCCAAGCCTCATCTACTCCGACACGCACGTGTGCTCACGGCCCCAGCCCTGCCCACACTGTTGGTCTCCTTCCGGCGTGGTCCAGAGGGCTGCTACTCACACACGCATCTCTTCATCATGCCAGTCCTTGCGTGGGCACCTAAAGGGAAGAAAGCAGATGCAATGAGCTCTTTTGCAAACGCAGGGGGTGGGGTGGGGTGGGTGCATCGCAATGAAACAGGCATCTGGCATTTTATGTGGGCAGGAGAGCTTGTGACACAGGTAATTTCCATCAGCACCACTGGGAGTTATCTGCGTAATCGGAGTCTCTGCTCAAATCCCAGGTGCTGGGGGAGCGGAAGGTCAACAAATGACATTTCCAAGTGACGTCGCCTTGGTTCCTGGTGTGGAATCTGAGCAAATGGTCCAGATTCCTCTCCTGTCCACTGGCCTTTGCCCCATCCTGCGTCCTTCCTAAAGTCAACAGCAACCAGACGGAGTCACCCCTCTCCCTCCTCCTGCAAGAGGCATCAGTGCGACCGAGCCCTTCACGCGGGTGGCGACGAGAAATCACCCTGATACTGTACAGTTGATGACTGTAGATAACAACGGCTTTCGTGGCTTTTGAATGGCTGTCCAGTGTGGAGTATTTTCCCTAAAGAAACCCCTTACTTGGATTATGAATGGGATGAACGGGTACATCCCAACCTTCCCAACACAGTGTTTCCAGGGGCCTCCAGCCTGGAATCGCCAAAGGAGCTGCCTCCCTTGGGACCTCTGGGGACTACACCCCACCCGGAAGGATGTCCTTACCTGAATTTCCAAAGGATTCTCTTTGTTTTCTAAACAATGTAGCCCTTCTCCAATAGATCTTTGAATATGACACACAGCTCCAAGGCTTTTTTTTTTTCAGTATAAAAAGAGTTTTAAGAAATACTAGCCTCTTATATGTAAGTCAAATCATTAAACTGTGCACCTTAAACTTACACAGCGCTGTATAAAATTATGTCAGTAAAGCTGGGGGTGGGGGGTGGGGACCGACATAATTAGCAGCCAAAGAAATGCAACTGTAAAATGAGCTATGAATATTTTTCTTCTATCAATATAATTTTTAAAAATACCATCTGTATGCTCATAAGAACAGAATAATACGGCATCCTCATTAACACATATTTTGAGAATATGTTTTGGAAAGAAATTTGGCAATATCTATTGAGAACATTAAATTTTACATATATATGTGTGTGTATATATATATATATCTTTGATATTGTAATTTTCTTTCAAGTAATCTATTCTAGGGAAATGTTCTAAAATAAAACAAAAATGTAACGTCCCCCCAAAAGAGAAATACTAGCCTCTAAGTCTTCCTCAATACCCATTCTTTTCTTGTGTGTGTGTGTGGATATATATATATATATGAGCATTTATATATATAAAATCATATTTATTTGCTTTGTCCCTCAGTCATGTCCAACTCTTTGCGACCCCATGGACTGTAGCCAACCAGGCTGCTCTGTCCATGGGATTTTTCCAGGAAAAATACTGGAGTGGGTTGCCATTTCCTTCTCCAGGGGATCTCTCTGGCCCAGGGATTGAACCCATGTCTCCCGTGTCTCCTGCACTGGCAGGCAGATTCTTCACTGCTGAGCTACTGGGGAAGCATTATATATATAATATATGTACATATCCCCTGGAGAAGGGAAAGGCTACCCACTCCAGTATTCTGGCCTAGAGAATTCTGTGGACTGTATAGTCCATGGGGTTGCAAAGTGTCGGACATGACTGAGTGCCTTTCACCTTTCACATATATATATATATATATATATATATATATATATATATATATATATATATATATATATTCCTGTTGAGCTGTGGTTGGAAAAAGGCCTAAGAAATTGCAAAGCTTTAGTGATATGAGCAAGGTTACGAACTTATGCCAAAATAGAGATGTGAAAAAGTTTACACTTGAAACCGCTCTCCCGTGTAAAGAGGACAGGCACTCTCGCAGACGGGGGAAGTGGCCCTCAGGCAGACTCTGTACCTTGCCCATGGTCACAGAGCTCATAAGTGGTACAGACAGCAGTCAAGCCAAAGCCTTTGTTCTGACTGGTGAGTCTCACAGTTCTTCTCACTACCCCTACAGCTCTTTCCCGATTCCATCTGCTCCATGGGATCAAACAAAATCCAGGGACTGCTGCGGCATCTGATGCTGTTACGTGGCGGCTCAGTCCCACGCGGAGGACCCCATGAGCCTCAGGGAGGGGGCTCCCTGCCCCGTGGAGGGAACCCGTGTCTGACTTCAGAGGATTCTCTCTCAGGATCTAAGAAACCAGGAGAAGGTTCATCCCTCTTACAGCCGTGAGCAACAAAAGACTCTGCAAACTTGTCTTTTCTAAAGATCCCAGATGGATAAATAGAGAGGAAAATGACTCCAAATGTTACCAAACTCACAGAAAAGAAGATTAATGTGAGCTGAAAACATAACGAACTGGGTTGTTCATCATGGGAAAAAAAATCAGATTAGCAACAGCAGAATGAAATGAATGTGCTTTTGGAATCTCGAGTCCCTCAAATGCCAGAGAGGCTGGAGCTGAACCCCGAGGCTGACTAAGCCATCCATCAACAGCTCGTTTCATCTGCAGTGTAGGTCCACCTCCCTCCCATGTTTTCCTTCCTGCAAACCTTCATCGCGGGGCATTTGGGGACTGTAGGAATTGCTTAGATGGGGGAGAGAAGACGTAGAAGGAAGGTACCGGGGGCAACATCAGAGAAGGAGCAGGGTGGCAGAGGACAAGGCACAGCCTGCTGGACGGAGGAGAGGAGATGGAGAGATGAGTGTGAACACAGGAATTAGAGTTTCCTATCCTCAAGCAACTTCCACCAATTGAGCTTGTGCCACCTCCGCCTGCCTAAATCCTGTGAAACGGTGCAAAGCCTCCTCTGGAGGACACTCACATCTCTCCAGAGACCAAGTCCATCTGGAAAAAAGTGTTCTGTAATTTAAACTATGGGCTTCCCAGGTGGCGGTAAACAACCCGCCCGCCAAGGCAGGAGACGGGTTTGATCCCCGGGTTGGGAAGATCTCCCGGAGAAGGAAATGGCAACCCGCTCCAATATTCTTGCCTGGGCTACAGTCCATGTGGCTGCAAAAGAGTCAGACACGACTTCGGTGACTAAACAACAACAATTTCGACTCTAAGCCCTGTGAGGGCAGGGATTTGTTTCTGCCTCACGTAGACATAATAACAAACAATTAAGAAGTAAACAGTGCACTGAGTTTGTATTTCAGCTTTCATCCTCATGAGCGCTGTGCTTGTGGGCAAGTTATCAACCTCTCCAAATCTCACTCCCCTTCTCCTCATATAGAGATTATAAAAGCATCTGATGACAATGTTGACATGAGAATTGTATTAGATAATCCACGGCAAGCATTTAGCACAATGCATAGTAGATAGCAAGTGCTCAACACTTGTTAGCTATAGTTATTATTATTGTTATTCCAGAAGCATTTCCAACTCCTAGCATAGTGCTACATAAATATCTATCATTGTATGAATGAATCTGAAATATTCAGCAATCTAGCTGTGCTTTTTCTTCCCTACGGTAATTATTTTCATTATTTTGACACATAAACATCGGCTCGTCAAATGTCTGTTGGTTTTACATGTCAAAACAGTAGCCTCTGGCAAAATCACAAGTGTAGACTCCTCCTTAAAGAACAGAACTTTTTCTCAGCACACATCTCTAGACTTAGTCATTGTTTCTCCAGAAAGGTCAGTCCAGTGGTCACAGTCACAGACAAGAGGTGGTTAGGATGAATCTTCTCAATATCAGAGTGCAGTTTGTCTTGAGATGAAATCCTTCATGCCCTAAATGGTCCACTACACACAGGATGGAATGCCTGTTGGGAGTATAAATCCTGCATATTCCTTGCATTCAAAGAGGTTGGACTCAAAACTATTTCATTTTCTCTCTGTGATTCACAAAAAGGGGATGGAATCTTCCGGGGTTGGCTAAATCGTGTTGCTGCAACAGCCTCTAGAGCCATCACCCTCACCCAGGACTTTGAAGTGACAACAGACGCAGAATGTAGAGACATCCGAAGACACCGCATCAAGGTTACCTCCAGCAGGGAGGACAGAAGAACTGTCTCTCTGCTCTGTCGTGCTGATTGACTGTTTTCCAAAGGGATTATCAGCTTGGCATCGCCTGCAAGTACTGGTTAGCTAAACAGCGATTCCCAGGAAGGGAAGCCGTGGGGAGCTGTGTCTCTTAGAGTAAAAACCGGGCATTCTGCAGACATCAGTGCTTCTTCACCAGAGGGCAGAGCTAAGGAGGTGCCTAAATGCCCTCCTGTTCTGACCCCGACAGGTCTAACCACAAACTCAGAGGAGCAAACAAGCCATCCTTCTGCGGGGAGGGGAGAGTGGGGGAATGCCTCCTTGCTAACTTCCGAATGAGCGAGTGGAACATAAAGGAGCCCTGGGGTTACCTTGGTGGGGTGACAGGGCACAGCGGCACCCCACCTGCCCTCTCGAGAAGGAAGACGGCCCAGCAAGGGGACAGCCCAGATGAAACAGCATCGCTTCTACCTCCTAAATTCCCCTTCGCATTTCTCAACTCATTACTTCTGCCCTATCCTTACCCCCTCACTCCCTTCCAATATGTCTGCGGCCACGAGGAAGCTACAGGATTTCTGGGTGTGCTGTCAAGTCTGAGCTGTGCCCCCAAAGAGGACGTTTTACCCCTAGACCCGAGCCTTGCTCCCACGTCCCTGTCACACAAGTCTCCTTTCTCCCCTTTGGCCGCACCTCTGGGCACGCAGAACTCCCCCAACCAGGGCTCGAACCTGTGCCCCCTGCAGTGGGCGTGCAGTCTTAACCACTGGACAGTCAGGGAAGTCCCCTGTCACACAAGTTTCTGAGCTGCAGTGATTAATGCTGGAATCGGGTGGCAATCTTCAAATACTGCTTCCAGAAAGAAAAGGAAAA